ACATTAAATAATAATAATAATAGAAACCGTCCCGGCCTTCAGTAACTGGACAGAAATCCACCATTTCTCCATTGCCTTTTCTAGTTATCAACCAGACCTAAAGCAGTTCCAAACAAAAATTAAGGTCTCCAAAAGGTTTAAATTAAGGTATCCAAAAGGTTTGAAGAGTGATCCAGAGTATTCTCTCAGCTGCTCAGCAGCAGCATTGGTCACATGGATCCCTTTTATCACTGGCCCTGAGCAGAAATGCAAGTGCCAGCAGTTCTTGGCTTAGAAGGGGCTCTTCCCATTTGCAGAGATGATCAATGTTCCTACACTGACAAGCCCCGAGTCTTTAAGGTTCTTTCAGGACTTTTAGGAACCTGTTTAAGGTTCTGTTGAACCTTTCAGGTGCATTTCCAGAGATATTCATAGGTCTAAGTGCATTCTGAGGAAGATGGGTAGCTGTAGGGCTTGGCCCACCACATTGCTGGTGATAAATCTTTTCCTCATAGAGCTGCTCTTTGAACAAAAGGAAACAGGACAGTCCTTAAAATGTGGCCTCAAGGCTGGGCTACAAAAAACACCTCTGCCAGCTCTCTGCCACAACTGCCTTACTCAGGAAAAAGCTTTGCCCACTTACAAAGCAGGGGAGATGGAGAAAACAAAGCAAAGATTATGCTCTGGGTGAAATTCAGATGTAGGTTTTGTTCTTGTTTGATGAGGAAATCAGAAGAATCTATTTCTATAAGAGAGGCCAGCAGCCAGCAGAATTACCTGTGTTATTCCCTACTCTGGCAGAAGTTTGATATAAATGAACTGAGACAAATGTTACTGTCCTACTTATTTAAAAATATATGCATTTAAGCACTTCTGTCTTTCCCAAAGATGCTAATAATTATATTCCAATGGCTTTGGAAACAGCAGTTGTGCACCACGGACATCACATGAAGACTGTGTCCTTACAAAATCTGCTTTTACATTCCACTTCACAAATGAGCAAACTGCAGCACTGAAATGCCTGGTGTTGGAGAACTAAATAATAATCTAGTTCCATCTGTCTACGTGAGATAATTCAAGAGGGTACAAGTACATGACAATTTGATGACTAAGATCCCCAAGAGACTACCACTGTTGGAAATGGGAATGGCTTTCCTCTAAATTCTGAGCTTTATTTTTTTTCCCAGTTGCATGGTTTCCTATAATTGGTTACTCTAACAGACTTCACAGGATACCTTCAGAAAAAAAAAAAGCTTTCTGACAGTCACTTGCCAATTTTTTTAGGCAACAGCATTAGAGAAAGTTTCCAAATTGATAATTTTTATAAGTATTATTGTGACCCAATAAATGTTTACATGCAGAAATTGTTGGAGCCCAAGCAGTGGACTTCTTGCCTAGAAAATTTTAAGACACTGAATATTAGAAGTACTTGTTAGCAATTCCAAATAGAGTTTACTTTTTTTAAAGTATGCAGTATATTTTGATAGTAACAAAACCTCAGAAATGTATGCAAAACTTTCAAGCACTTGACACAAAGAGAAGTCTCATGTTTTGATTAAACAATCCATTTGAAATTATTTGTTTGCCTCTAATGTTATGAATTAATTTTCTCAAGTGTAGTGAGAATTACAGTATTCCAATATCATGAACAACCTTCACAGGTAGTCCAAAGCTTTTTTTTTTAATTAATCAGATGAACAAAAGCAAATGATGGACTATTAATTGAAAATTCAATCACCTATTCAAGCAAAATCTGGGGATATACCAGATATCTAAGATACTTTTCCTACACAACTGATTTTGCTCTAAATTTACATTAATAATCTAACTTTAAGAAAGGAATATACTTTAGCACTTAAAACAGGTACATGTTACATATTATAAAACATGTTTTCAACATAGAAACAACAACACAGAAATACAACAGAGAAACAATGGTATGAATGAAGAAATGAAGGCAAAAACCCAAACTACAAAATGTGAATAAATATCAGCATCTGAAAACAATGAGAATAAAAATGAGTGTGTGTGTGGGGGCCAATCCTGCACTTCCATAGAATAATTTCAAATTATTATTAGGAGGAAATAAAGTGTATTAAAACTGTAGATTCACACAGAGGCATTGGGTTTAGAGCCAAAAGGACTCAATGCAACCATTCAGTCTGATTTTCCCAGACTGTATTTCCTGTACCAAATGAAAACTCCTTATGGTTGGACAAGAAACCTTTTTAGAATTGTGTTAGCTCCTGACAAAAAGTTGTTGCATAACAAAGAATCTCCTGATCTCCTGTATCAATTTCCTTCATAGGCAGAATGTTGCAATTCATCTTTTTGGTAAATCTCTATAGTAGTGTTGAAGACTGCAGAGTTTGGTGTCATAAGAATAGATTCTTTTCACACTGGTAATAGGAATTTTTTTTACCCTCATTTTAACTTCTGAGTAGAAAATTCTTGACTGTGGAAGAGATGTAAAAGATTCACAGCTGAGGAGAGGCTGCTTCCATTGTTTTTTTTTTAAGTTTTGGACTAATTCTTTGATCTATGACTTCTATTATTTTCCACATCTATCATTTAGCAACAGCAGGAGCAGACGACTGGGTGTAGGAATCACGTCTGAACAGAGACAAAAAACTTCTCAGAACATACAACAAAACAGAGCAAAGGTGAAGAAGTAAAAAGCATGAGAGAAATACATTTGCAGAGTGGCATCTTGGTTCCTGGGCTCTAGTGGGTGGGGATGGCCTTTTCCAATCACACAGCCTGCTTGACTTGCAAGGATTCTTTATGAACACCAAAGCACATTTGCTTGGATTAGAATGATTTTGCACCAGTTTTAGAACCAGCTGGATCTTTCTTTTTCAAGGTTTATCAAAGTTCAGTTGACTCTGGCCAACACTAGTCATTTAGCTGCTAGTTAGTGACTTTGGTAAACTTTATATCTGGTGTTTAAGACAGTGAGTCCTCACTGATTAACATCTCACACAGTGTTTATTCCTTTGAAGGTTTTGCTCTCTCAACTTAGAGTTTCTGAAATGACAAAACTAGAAGCCTGTATCCAATTTCATGGAACAGCTCAAGTAAAACACAAGGCAGCACATTGCACACACAGTTACTGGACAACTTCTGGGAAGGCTTAATTTTTCCAGGAAAAAAAAATCAATTGCCAATTTCTTACATAATTTTCTGAGAATAGGGTAAGGTTTGTGAAAGATAATGAGGTTACTCAGCACTAGAAGATACCTCAATTTTATGTGCCCATTGTTGATGGTTTAAGTGGAGACAACCTTTTCATACACAAGCAGCACTTTAAACTATACTGACTGAAAGGCTGAAATCCAAAAACCTCATGCTTTATTTTAAGCTTGACACAGAGGAAAACAGCAGCAGAATGAGTTGGGCACAAAAACTGCATGCTTTAACCTTAACCCTTAGTGAGGAAGAAACTTGAATCGGGATCCAGTGTCAAGTTTAGCAACCATTTTCACCCATATGTGTATTAGTGTCAACCCCAAATGCATGATTGATCTGGTGTGGCATTTCCATCTGCTCAAAACCAGTGATGAACAGTCCAGAGATCATTATTTGCTGAAACCATTCTAGTTATCAGTTGAAAATCTCATAGACACACCTGCTGCCAGTGACCAGTGCTTTTAAGTAATTACTAAGGTATTAAACACAATATCAAAGCTAGAAGAAATTTTTAAAAATGGTTATGTGGACTACTATTCCAAGACCTTAAACATTGATTCAATTTCAAGTGTGAGAACACAATTCTTAAGTTTACCTTAAATCTGAGCTTGGTCAAACTAAGCATCCACAGATTTCTGGAGGTGTGCTGAAGGCTGTTCAGAGCAGTCGAAATAAATAGCTGCTGTTGTGAATTCACATTTGAAAACTGACTGCACTATTCAACACTCTCTGATATTTCTCTTTCCTCAGGAATCACAGTGCTCATGCTCAAACTGGCCAGGACATATCAGTGCTCCTTGTCCTTCTAATCATGCAGACCTGGGCCTGTCTAGCAGGTATGAACATCAGGAAAGCCTTTGGTGAAAAAGGCATGGGAAGTCTCTGGCTGCAGAGAAGGGACAGTGTGAAGTTTCTGTGTCTGATGTGTAGCACTGGTCTGTCCTCCATTCACCCCCATGTGAAACCCAGCCCGTGCTGAAACCTTGGGATGAGTCACACTGTTTGGATACACCCACAGAACCAAGGATGGCAAAACTTCTGTATAAATAGCATGCTAGTTGAAAAGAAACTAAAACCAAAATCAAAACCAAAACACCCTACACCTCACTATTTTAACTGTTTGGGTTTTTTTTCCCCCTTCAAATCCCCATCAGGGAGGATGAGTTTGCAATTCAAGGTAAATAAAGCAATATCTGGAGACTGCTGTTCTCTGGTAGCCTGTCATTCTTCCTGTCACCTGTACACAGACCTCCTTTTCTTGCTTGCAACAATAAAAAAATTAATTTCTATTTCCTAATTCTTCTTGCTTGTGCTGCTTCTTGAGTTTTCCTAGCAACCATCAGCAATGCAGATACAACTACTGGGGACCCTAAGCACAGTGCAGTCAGCAAAGAATGTTTTACACTTCAAGCATTTTCAGCTTCTTTGCCTTACCAAGGTTTCTAACCCATGAAAATTTCCTAACAAGACCAGGACAGGATGGGCCCTTTTTCTTAATAGATGGTCACTTTGCAGGACAAGGTGTTTTGCTAACAGGAAAATGTTATTCGTTCTGGCTAAGCAATGAGTTTCATGATGTAGCATTTAATTAATAAATGTGATTTATATACACACAGTGAGCCATAAAGATGACAGCATGCTCCCAGAAGATTTTTTGGTAATTAAATTTTATATCTTCCCAAGCATTATTCTCTGTGCTCAAAGGAAAATATTGACAGCTCCTCTTTTTAAATGTTTTTTATATTGGACTCTGCTGATAAACAGGGTACACTGCCAAAAACTACAAAAGAGAAATGAAAATATGATGTTAATGCTTTTGTAACATTACTTACTGTGGTGGCACAGTGGATGTCTTTCCATACATTGGCTTCCCTGGAGAGATCTGAGACTTCAAAAAGGTTATCAAGAATAACTTCCCCAATCATGTCATGTCTAGAAAATCTGTCAAAATCATAAACACTGAAATGCAATTTCCTGTTGCTGAGTTGATCATAGGCTACAGGGAACTGAAAGGTTTCATCAAAGACTGGATTTAATGTCTTTCTGTGAACTCGTGTCTGAAACTTCTTTTTCCTATCTGGAAGCAGATAAATCTTAACGTAGGGGTCGGATGTTCCTGTGAAGTCTTTAGCAGGCAGATCTAAGGCTTTGACAATTGTGACAGCCAGAAGTTCATTCTCATAATCGTACCGGAGAGTGAAGTTAAGTTTTCCACATGTTTTCACATCTTCTTGTTGCCCATCAGAATCCACAGACTTCTGTTTGTAGAGTTCTGGTTTAATTCTCCCAATGCTGGTTGTGGTCTCTCCCCTTTGCAACACTGGGTCTGTCCCCATGTTAAAATCAACACTGGACACCTGCATCTGCCTTGGCAAGTGCCTCCTGAAGGAATTGTGCCTGCACACACACACACACACAGACACACAGACACACAAAACAAGCAATGGTTATCTCTGGGAAAAGACCATCTCTCAACAGAAAATATAAGAACAAATTAGTGAAAAGACTAAAAGAACTAAAAAATAGTCCTCTCCACACCTCCTTCAGTATTTTGCAAGTGTTCAAGCATCCTTGAGAGGAAATGATCATTCAGAATTAATTTCTTGGCCCAGGAGACACCCACTGTCCCCGAAATAAATATATTTATAACTTTGCTTTCAGACTGTGCAGTTGAAACTGAATTCATGTTCTTTCACAGAACAAGTTGACAGTTCCAACATTGCATGATCCCACTTTGCCAGGGCCTGAGTAAAGTACGGTCAAACAGAAGAAAAAAAAGAAAAGCACTTGCAGAATTTTCATCAGTACTCTCTGCTTTTTTGGAGGCATTCCACAGTGGTTTTCCAATTAAATATTTACCAGCCTTCACACTGATGACTGTAAAAGGCACCTGAAAGGGAAATGCAGAGCTGTGTCTGGAGGTTTTTAGCATAGTACTTTGCCATCCTACAACATTTTATATACACTCGCTTGGTATCTGCTGCACTGAGGTGCAGGCTGCTTTCTCCAGAAGCACTGGGAATATTTTGTTCTGCTTGCAAAGCATTTCAGAGTTTTGCCAACAATTTTCTGCCATTGCTTTTTTTTTTCTCTTTTGTTCTCACGGTCTGCCATGAGGTGTATTAGAAAGTTCATTCCTGTGCCAGTAGCAAGAAACAGTATGTTAAATTCCTTGCAATTCTGAATACAATGTTACATAAACATATGTACTTAAGGGCTTATCTCGGCTCATGAATCTGAATGGAAAGTTGTGCTATTCCTACTAAGAGTGAAATCAAACCCCTGGCGTGCCATGCAACCTTAGAGTAGTATAAAAACACTGGACAAAAACCTTCACAGCATTTATCAGCAGCAGATGCCATTATGACTACACTATCCAGTTTATTTTTTAGGCATTTTCACATTTCCTTGGTACTTCCCTTCCCCAACAATCTGTGCTGCCAAAGCTTACCACCTCCTCCTGTGAGCACACTTAGTTGCCATTAAAGAACAATCCAATTGTCAGAATTTCCTCTGCTTTTTTTGCAATCAATTGCTTATTAATGCCACATGTAGCCTTGCCTTATTGCTTGGTTTCCCTGTGGTGTTGTGTTCTGAAAACAAGAGGTGTCACAGCTGTGTGTTTCTTTCTTTAAAACAGAAATGCAAATTGTCCATTTGAAAGCAACCAGGACTCATTTCATAGATATTATTTGTATTTTTGCTGTAAGTGAAGAGGTTGCAGAAGGCAAGAAGCACAAAACTGCTGCAGTTCAGCCGAGCAGAGACACAAGAGGGTAATCTGCAGCTATTAAATAATAGACAAGAACCTTTCCCCTTTCAGCTGTTTGAGTCCTGCTAGGTGCAGGGAGCAGTCCTAGCTCAACACAAGAACAGGGCAGGGAGAGCTACATAGTCTAGACTTGAAGTAGCTCAAAAAAACCCCAGGTGTTTGGATGTCAAATTTAGATGAGCTCTGCACTCCTCTTGTAACACACTTGGCCTTTCTTTCTTTACAGATAGACAAGTGAAAAGATTTTCTTCTCTCTTAAATGTTAAAACTCCCTGAATTCATAGTGTCTAATTTCCACATTGGAATGGAGTGAGGAATGAAAAGGCCCTGACTGGTCAGAAAAGTAGAATACTGTCCTCAGGGAGTTTCACAGCTGTTCTTGTGCTTTTGCCTCCAAGAAGAGCAAGATCTCATGAGTGTGCCAAACATGGAGAAGGGGATGAACTCCACCCAAAATGCAGGGCAATAAATTCCTGAGCAGACAGCAGTTTAGGGACCATCTTTTTAGTATCTTTGACTCCTAATGAGGTCCAGGCAGACCTGTGTTACTGCTGCTTCTGTCAGTGCTCAGGAAACCTGTGCACAGAGGCCTTCCTGAGTGCTCCTCACACCTGCAGCTGTACAGCTGAGATGCCCAGATGAGCACGGGGTCATAGAATAGTTTGAGTCAGAGAGGACCTTATAGATGATCCAGTTCCATTCCCCCTGCCATAGGGGATGGTGTTCAAACCCTGTTGTGCACCAGCAGTGGCTAAAACTGCCTTTTTAGGGGAAACAGTGAAGCTGATTATACAACATCAGTTTGACCAGAAACAGGTACATGACAAAATCTCCTTTCTTCAACTTCTCTTGAATTTTTGACAACCTGAGTTAATGCAAGCAAAAAAATATGAGACCCCAAATCTATGATTTCTAAGGTATGAGCTTTCTTTTAAATTTTCAGACTTCACGCGCTTCAGATCCTCTACTGAATTGTTGTGAGATGTCACTAAGTGAAAGAATGCATTTGTATGGCTGTTCCCTGTGGGAATCAGCAGCACTTTTGCTCTAGTAAGCCAAAGTCCTAATTACACAGTGCCTAGTATCTGTTCTGAGTCACAGCATTTCACCAAGACAGCTAATTGGTCTGCTAATTATTAAGATGTTTCATTGTTGTCATGGCAACATATTTATCTTCCTTTGTTCTGCAGTAACAAAGGGATTAATGACTGTGATAATGAAATACAAGGATGTCAGAAAACCAGGTTGTTAAAATGTGGCAGAGCTACCAACAGATGCAAATCCAGGTATGTCAACCTCTACTGACTCTTACATGCAGCACTCCTACAGTAGACTTGCCTTCCATAACAGAACAAATGCATTTTGAGTATTAGCAAATCTGCATGTAAATGTAATATAAAACTGTATTTTCATGGGCATAATGACACTATGAAGCTGGCTTCTAACTCAGTGAGACTGCCACATCTGTGACAAAAGGGAGGGATAGGGTGTTGATTTATGATATGACTTGAGATTTATGAGGGGGACTTGGGTCTAGCTTTCCTAGTTGGCATTTGAGCGATCTTTTGGCCCAAATCCAGAAAACAGCATGATTACTGGTGGTATTTAGACAGAACAAAAGCTTCTCCTTGCAACCACTAAAATCAACAGATATGTTTGTTTTTCTTTAACCTTAACAAACCCAAGCACCTCACTTCTGCCTTCATGCCTCTGGGGAACTGACTGGCTCAACATGTTCCTCTCCAGCTGATACTAAAGAGCAAAAAGCACGTTCTTGGAAAGTACAGGTGAATGTTTGAAGAATTAATTTCCATAGAAGCAATAAACTATATTGCAAAATACTATCACAAAGTATGGGAGAGGGTGGTTCTCAAAAACACAGAGCAAAATTTGCAAATGAGCAGCACTGCTGCAGTTCTTCTGCTGTAGTGGTTAATTGGTATCAAGGACTAAAGCAGGTCTTTTCATATTATCAGGGACTATGAAAAATATGTAGTTATAACTAAAGAGAAAGGTATCATTTCCCCCATACTAACATGTCTCTGTGCTAATGTACAGTCTAAAAAATGTGATCAGGCACATCTGATTGTTGCTCTGATTGGTTTATTAAAATCCTCATGCTTCAATTACAATTGCTCAACATGGATTAATTTATTTCATTAAGAGCTGATCAGGCTGCATGAAGCCATCACAGAACTGGTTACAACCTTTTAATTTGCCCCATCTCAGGTGAGCTGAGTGCACAGGAGACAATCCAGGCAGCAAACATTCCTCTCAGACCCTTTGTCAATGGAATACATTTAGGAGAGGGTGCATCTGAATCCCTCAGGACTCCTGAGGACAAGAAAGCAGTGCTGCATTGAAAATGGTGCAAGAGAAGTTGTGCTGCCTCTGCATCTGCCTTTGCCTCCTTTTTATTTAGAGGCCCCCAGTCAAGAAAACAAGAGCCAGATTTCAGTCATTTTGCTGGTACATTGTTGCCAGCCAGGCTTGAAACAAAAAAAAGGGAATAATTCAGAAACCTGGTCTAAATGTCCAGCCTCATTGTCATAAATGATATTCTTGACAGCAGCAATTAATACGGGCGGTTAGGACTCCCTTAAGGCAGGCAGGGTGTAGATAAAATGTTTACAAACAGAAAGATCACAATTTCTGGGTAATTTTTAAGGCACCTGTCATTCTAAACATGTTTTGTAAAATGATGCAGAGTTTTTCACCAAACTCTAAAAGAAGGTGATGTTTCCAAACACTCTGCTACTGATTGGCTGTGGTGGGACAATCCAAAGCACAGGAGCTGTCCCTTTCAGAGGAGATTTAACCCTGATAATCTTGAGAAGACAAAAAGAAACCTCCCTTACAAGGTTGCAGAAAGACTGGCACTGATAGGAAGCTTTACTTATGTAAAACTGTCCTTGGCTTCACAAATATTTTGTATTCAATTAGATCCCAGTCCAAATCACTCTAGAGACCTGTGAGAATATTTTCACTGCCTGAAGTAGATCTGGAACATATCCCTGGAACTTCTTTCTCCCCCTATAGTGCAATTGGGACTATTCAAGTCCATTTGCCAGCCAGCTATTTCTTCTGTCTATTCAGGAGGTCAGACAGTCTGAATACTTGGATTTGATGGATAAACTCTTTCAGTTAATATCCTTTTAGGTAGCAGTGAGCTGGATAATGGGCTTGCCATGCTAAACTGTACCAATTTTTGTTCCTCTGTGTTTAGTGCAACAGTTAAAAGTTCAGAATTATCCAAGTGTTGTGGGAATGTTCCTTAGTGTTTGGATGCTCAGCTCCTGTTCTGAGCAGATGGATACAGTAGCAGGAACCAGGCACAGCCAGGCTAATGTGGCTTGAAGCCAGCTGGACAGTCTCATAATTCAGGAGATGCTTGGGCTGCTAAAGCCAGTCAGTCAGACCTCCTCTGGCTGGAGTGCTCTCATTTTGGGAGCTTCATGTGCCTTCCTGCTGGCTGGTCTGTGAGGCTGGAATAGCTGAGAAAAAGCACTTGAGCACTCACTGCCACAACGAGTGCACTGAGCTGGCAAAACATTGTCTGTAGGGCTCCCAGGAGGCCAGCAAAGTATGTGCCCACTCAGTGTAAAGCATGTGTCTTCTCCTCCTTTTGCCTCTAATTATTGTGAATGTGAGCCTTTTTTGTTTGTTTGTTTCTTTGAGGTTAGTGGGTTTTCTCATGTGGTTGGTTTTGGGATTCTTTTTTTTTTTTTTTTTGGTAGTATGTGTTTCCTTAGGAAACAGCACTTTGAGAAAAATGCTACTTCCTACTTCCTACACAGTACCTGTGCTGTAACTTATGGCATTACACAATACTTCAGGTGCCTCTTTTAGCCTTAATTTTCTCAATCTTTGCTTGTAAGACAATCCCCTTTTTATTTCAGGATTTGATCTTTGCAGTTCATTGTTTGTTTCTATGCATTAAATTTACTGACAGTGTTTGAAGAAAATCCCATTTGAATCTATAGGTCCCTGCACATCTTCACTGTTTTTCAATATAACATGGCACCTGATGAAAATTAAAGTTTCTGTCCTCCAGAATACTAATACTAAAGAAACCCCTAAGGAATGCAATGTGATTTTCATTTATTATAGACCTATATGGAATCTGTGCAGCTTTAAGATCAGTCCATAAGGATCTGTATTTTTAGACTGGAATTTTAATTCCATCATAATCAGCAAACCATGTCTTCAGGAAATGTGCCATCAACAATGAGTCTATCATTCATTTGGTTGAAAGGGAAACTTTCATCTGCAGAAACAACTGATGGATCTATAAAAAACATCTCTGTGAAAATCTAGACTCGCAATTCTTTAAAAAAGCACTGAAATATGTTTTCCTGTAATCAAAACCCAAAAGGGAAACGCTTAAAGTGGCAACAGCTATCTTTACAAAGTAGTAGAAGATGTAGATTTCACTTTCATATGTTAAAATGATTATGTAACTGGAGGTACACTAAATGTTCCAGAATATTCTGTCCAAAGAACAATGCAGCTTCACACTCACATGACCGATGTTTTACCCAAAACTTCTAAGAAACCTGTGAACAATCCAGCAATCCTAGAAATTTTCAGCAGTGTTCCTGCTCTACTTGTTCCTGGGAAAGGTGCCACAGGTGCCTCTGACCTACCTTGATGAGGACGTGGGCTCGGTGATCTGCCTCTGCATCCGAGCGTGTCTGATCAGGTGCTCCTTCAGCGCATTCTGCACTTCTGCTGGGATATCAGGGGAAGTGTGGCTGATTTTCAGAGCTGCTTCAAGCACCTTGGTCGTAGCTTTCCCATTTTCTTTGACTTCCTTTTTCTCACTGTTCTCCAAAACCTCCGTGGGAGCGCTGGAGTTGCTCTGTGGGACATTGCTGGCACTGGAGGTGAGGGGTTTGCTCCTCCAGCAGGGCCAGCACAGCTTCCAAAAGACAAAAAGAGAGACCACCAGCAAGGCAAGCCCGCAGAAGCTGACAACCACTGCTAAGAGACTGACTGAGACATCTGCAAGGAAGTAGAAACAAAAAGCATCGTGACAGACAAACATGCAGAGAAAAAAAATTTAAAAATTACACAGGCAAGGAGATAGAAGCATTTTTATTCTTATGTCTGTGTAGAGCTTTAAAGTCCTATTAAAGGTTGTGAGTTGATGAGTTGTTTTTTTTCATTTTTCTTTTTTTTCTTTTTCTTTCTTTTTCTTTCTTTTTTTCTTTTTGATATCTAAGCCCATAGCTTTAAGATTTTATCATTTTATTATTATTTAATTTATTATTTTCTCTATTATTTCTTTATTATTTTCTAATATCTGCTTCATAAATATTCCTTTAGCTGTTCCGGCCAAGGGCCAGTATGTGTATACCACTCACCACATACTCAGAGATTCTTCTCAGGAATTTTCCTTCTCAGGAATTTTCCTTCTCAGGTAGTAAGGAAACAATCCCAAAACTTCCCAGCAATTGTTGACTAAGGATGTTGAGATCAGTAAATGAAAGAAATATTGACCTAGTTTGCTAAAGCAAAGTTACTATAATCAAACAACAAATATTCACACTGAGATTTAAAGCAAACACATGAGAATTCTGTTCTCAAATCTAGATTTCCAGTTTTGAAAGCAAGCACCTATATAGACAGCCTTCCCCTGATGGGTAATGTACACATCCCTTTGCTTACTGGCCTCAGATGGAGGACACAGATGCTGAAAACATCAACAACTTTAATTTCAGTCAGAGGCTGTTGATGCTTAGTTCTTTAGAACATATATTTAGAACACCAGGAGCACGTTGATGGAAAAGTTAAGCCACAGTCAACATTTTCTATCAGTACACATGAAGACAGATTAGATCTAAACTGCTAAAGGCTGATGCACAAATTTCTTTGAGATTTGCCAAACTTCTGACTCTGTGTGCCAACTGCTTCAGAAACATTTTAAACCCCAACATTTAGGTGTAAATAGGAATAAGATAAAGTCTGTCATAAATAAGAGATTTCTGTGGTTAAATCACCAGCTCTGGACTAAGGCTGTGTCAGACCAAGATAGCACAGATATATCAGTATCTAAAATTCTGCTGTGAAAATGCAGCTGGCTTCAGAGAACACAGCGAAATGCCCCAAGCTGTACAGAGATCATGCTGTACACTGAGCTACTCTGGCTGCCCTGTGTTTGACTTTTGCTGCCAAAACTGCTTAGAATGTCCAATAGCCTGGTCAGAGATAGGAGAACAGATTTCATAGCAACAAAATTCCATGGACGCACACTGTTTTACACGATGGTGGATCACCAGGACTGCCAGTTGAGCCCTAATTAGGAGTTTTATTCTATGTGACATGCTTCCATTTGATTTTTCCAATATCCTGTAATATTATAACCAAAAAAATCCCTTTCCTTTTCAAAACAGCCTTTAAATGCCTTAAAATTATTCACTAAGCCCTGCTTAAATATCCCTCAAGTAATGGCTGCTGCTGTTTGTTACAACAAGTTTTGACAGCTGAACAGCTAATACTTGATTGTATCCATAACTCCAGGCTACAGGCTACTAGACTGAATCACTGGAAAAGTGCAAAGAGAATTTGAGCATATTTTTATAGATTTTCACGTGAGTATAAAGGTATGGATTAGCTCCATGAAAAATAATGTACTTCACTAGTGCTTATGAGAATTGAAGACAGAAAGATGAAGCAGAATGATGAAGATAGAGAGCTGAAGGTGAAAATTTGGCAATGTTTTCTATGTTAATATATACTATCCAAATGCATCTCTCAGTAACAAACACTGAACTTACAGAACCAAACTGAACTTTCAGACCACTCTTCATGAAAATGTGTGAGAAAAGCAAAAATGTATAGAAAATGTTGTGGTCTGGAGATCATACCCTTCCAGCCAATTGCTAGCCATGGACCAGGAATTACAATAGGTAAATGATCATTCTTGGTGGGTGGTTTGGATGTGTCCTTCTGTTTCAGAGGATGACAGGCATTAATAGCAAGGAGAGAGGCTCTTGCATGACCTCAGGAAAGGATCTGTAGTGGGTTGATTGACAGATGCCAGAGGCCCATCAAAGCTGCTCTGTCAGACCCCTCCTCAGATGGACGGGAAAAAATATGACAAAAAAGCTTGTGGGGCAAGATAAGGACAGGGAGAGATCACTCAGCAATTACTGTCATGGGCAAAACAGACTTAACTTGGGGAAATAAATTTATTGCCAGTCAAATAAATGGTGACAAATAAAACCAAGCCATAAACCACTTTTCTGCCCTCCTCCCTTCTTCTGGGGCTCAACTTCACTCCTGCTTCCTCTGCCTCCCCCCTGCAGAAGCCCAGGGGGAAGGGCAATGAGGCTGCACCAGCTCATCACACATTGTCTCTGCTGCTCCATCCTCTTCAGGACTCCTCACACTCCTGCCCTGCTGCTCTCCTGCAGTGTGTGGTCCCTGGCAAGGGAGCCAGTCCTGCACAAACTCCAGTGGGAATCCTTCCCACACCCTGCCCCAGGGTGTCCCTTCTCCTGGGAGCAGACCCTGGGGAGCACACTCTCCAGCACGAGCCCACTGCAGGGTCAGCAGGCATTGTAGATATTCTTTCCCCTGACGAGGGGGAGAGAATGATTAATCTGACTCCATCTTATCAGAAGGCTGATTAATTACTTTATTATACTATATTATTCTATATTATATTACATTATATTACATTACATCTAAACTGAATCTGCCAAGCACTCAACTGAACTCAACTGCCCACAATCTCATGACTGTCAGCTGACAGTCCCCACACACACACTTGGCCCTGACAGGCCAAGGAAACAAAACACCAACACTTTGGGTAAACAATCTCCATATTGCACTCTACTTTTGCACAAACACAGGCACAGCCAATGATAAGAATTGTTTTTCCTTTCTCTGAGGTTCAGAGAATGTGAAACCCAGAAATATTCTTGGGAAAAATTCCGCCTTGCTTGTCTCTGTGAAGAGAAATGTGGCGACAAGGAGTCTTGGCAGCAAGACTGCTCCAGTGAGGAATCCTCTCTCTTTCCACAGGTCCACAGATCCTGCCAGGGGCCTTCTGCAGGGTGGGCTCCTCACAGGGTCACGGCCTCCTTTGGGAATTCACCTGCTTTGGGATTGGGATGGGCTGCAGCAGTGAAGACCTGCAGTGGGAGGCACCTCACTCTCACACGTGGAGTGTAGCCATGATATTTTCTAAAAATCCTTTTGTTAGGATTTTTCCTCCTGAGAAGCTGAGAGGCCTCAGGAACAAAATGTAAACAATGGTTATCTGCTGCTGTGGAATGCAACAGGTGGATCTGTGATTGGTCTCATGTGGTTGTTTCTCATTAATGGCCAATCACAGTCCAGCTGTCTCAGACTGTCTTGGTCAGTCAGAAGCATTTGTTACCATTATTTTTCTATTCTTAGCTAGCCTTCTGATGAAATCCTTTCTTCTATTATTTTAGTATAGCTTTAATATAATATATATCATAAAATAATAAATCAAGCCTTCTGAAACATGGAGTCAGATCCTCATCTCTTCCCTCATCTTAAGACCCCTGTGAACACGGTCACACTGGAGCTCCCCCTCCTCTCCTTCTTCACAGACCTTGGTGTCTGCAGATTTGTTCCTCACAAATTCTCACCCCCTCCTCCAGCTGCTGATGCACAGCAGGTTTTTTTTTTTTCTCCCTTCTTAAAAACCTTTTCCTGCAACCCCTGTGTGTGGGGGGCTCAGCCTAGGCCATCCTGGAGCCAGCTGTCCTTGGCTCTGTTGGACATGGGGGAAGCTTCCAGAAGCTTCTCACAGAAACCCCCTCCTGCTACCAAAACCTGGCCAGGCAAACCCAATGCACAGTCAAAAATGAGTTTAGTATATTTACACAGATGTAGGCCTCACTGAAGAACCTTCTTTGATAGATTGAACCAGACCAACCTGGTCAGGCAACGTGGCCAAATTTTTTTTCTCTTCTCAAAATGTGACAAAAACTGGAACTCTTGAAAATGTTGATGGTCTTCCAGAAATAAATAAAAATTAAGGAAAAAAAAAGAGAACAGAACAAAAAATAAATTCAATTTTGGGTGACTTGCAATACTGCCAGCTCAGTTTAGGGACAGTTGGCATAATTAGATTATATTTTGAGAGGAAGACTTTTAGAGCTGAAAATTGTAGGGTTTTTTTTCCATTTGGAAAATGTTGAAGGAGGATGTTTTAACAACTTTAAAACTGCTGGAAACATTTCAAAACCAGAAATATGAAAATTGATCCCTTCCAGCAGAGCCTCAATTTGATGAATAGATACTATCACTGAAAAACATTGCATCAAAGCATTTCTAGCCAATTCTAATTTAAGTTTTTCACTGCAAGACATTTTTCAAGCCTTCAAATAACTTCTTGTCTCCTTTCAACACCTACTCCTGTACTTCAACTTTCTCTAAGCTGTTTTTCTGGATTTCCATTAAGCTACTTCAAAGTTGAAAAAGCTCCCAAAATCCTTACAGAAAATATGTTTTATATCTGTAAAATAATCCCATGAAACATCTAAAGTCTTATCAGCAGAGATAAGGAACTAATTCTATAAACAGGTGTAGTCTCAATTTTTGGCTATTTTATTAATAAATTTAACAGCCTCACATATTGAATTTCATAGTGCAACAAATACAGGAAACATTTGAATTGCAAGAAAAATCACCAAAAAATAGTTCATTAAGAAAAACTACCTAATTACATTTATTACCACAATTGCAAAAAAGCAATCACTATGCCATGAAATAAAAATTGACATAAAAAGCATATTGTTCAATGTCCTTCCTTCTGTCAGTCACTCAACTGAGCAATTATGAGACATTTGTTATTATGTGAAGAGTGGACTCATCTGAAGAGCAGTCAAACCCTTTGTGTGTTGGGCTGGATATGCCTCTTTTATTAAGGTTTTTTAGGAAGTTTGGTTGAAGAATGTAGAACATTAAGAGGAAGTTCTGCAGACTTGGAACTTCTTCACATCCCTGCCAAGGAATCCTGAATGGGAAGAAAAATGGGTACTGAAGGATGGATTTGCAGTCAGACCAGGGTTGCACTTCACATAAAAAAGTGTTGTTTTAAGATATAGAACTGGTGACAAATTCAAAGACTGCCTAAGTTTTTAAGGGCAGAGGAGATAATGCTGGGAGAGCATTAATTGTCAACATTGTGAATAATGTTCTCACTGGTACAAAAGAAAACAAAACCAATCTTGCACAACTCTTTTTGAACTGGTAATTGCAGATTGTCTGCAATGGTTTAGATTTGCATAGAACAGGACATTGCTCTGAAAATTCAGAAATATTACTGAATTATGCATTTCCATTCTTGTTCTCATGCTTGGTATACTCAGGAATGTCAAGAAGATCTTTTTTTCTCATAGCATCCCCTTCTGGTCTGTGGGAGACCTTCCAATGACTTCATTTCACTCTTGGTGAACTCCCTTTACTGATGGTTGTCCTAAATGTCGTATTTCTAGTCTTGATAAAATTTAGTAACGGAAAGCATCCTGTTTCCTCATGGTTTTGTATTTAAAACTACTCTTTCAAGATATGAAATTTTGGACAATTTTCTATTTCTCATATAAGAAAGGCATGTCTATTGAGAAGCATCAAAAATTCTCTGTATTTTTATAAACATCCTCTGATACACTTCTACCATAAAAGTCTCCTTGATAGCCAGGTTTTTGTATCAGGCAAGTACCTCAGAAACATCCTCATGTGTTGCTTTTTATTTTCTTTTCTGGATGCTAGGTAATATCTTGAGCATTGGGTTTGGTACTGTGAATTTCAAATTTCAAGAAGTTTTTGTTTGGAACTTGCCTTAGAAAAGTTCTGCCCGTGGATGTGTTTGCAAACATGCACATTGGCAGACTTCCATTTAATTTCAAAACCAAATTAAGGTCACTCACATTTTAGGAAATATATGCCTCATGAGGCTGAATTTGGAAAAACATACTCCAGAAACCCGTGGTATTGAATGGAGACAGAAACACACAGAGTGCTGTGATGTGGATGCACAGGTGTGTGAGGGTCAGACACATCTGATATGAACCACATTAAAGAGAATGGATTCCTCCCAGAAAAGGAGCTGGAGTGAAAGGGACACCTGGGGAAAGGAGGGATCTATTCTCTTCTGGCCCATTTCTTTGTCTACATCTGATCTTGGTTCCTTGAAATATTTAAAGGGCAATGTCTGCAACCTGTGTTCAAACCTATTTTTCTTTAACTTTGAATTTGTTCTCTTGTCCATCAAGCCATAAGGTACTTCATTCTTTCCATAATAAAGGAACTCTTGTGTATGTAATACCAGAAGTCAGCTCAATCAGATAAACTAAAGTCTCTGATTTTATAAGATTTAAAGGGAAGCAGGGCCCTTATAAATTATAAAAGATCTGGGGCCAATAAATCTCCCCTATCCCCATGTAGATGAACTAGTTGGTTCAACCCATCATTTCTGCTGTTAGGTTTCCTTGGGGAAATTTTAAGCACATAAAAACTTGCTGGTATTAATTTTTACTCTGCATTAGCAGATCTTCCACAATTAGCCCTGTCTCATCCAAATCCCTTCAGATGGGGACACGATGCTCTAGCATGCCTCAGAAAGTGGCAGGTGCAGAGTCTTGTATTTTCTCTCTCAATCTGAACCTGTCAAAACACCTGACTTAGATATTAAATGGCAAAAAAAAAGCCTTTCACTTAAAAGAGTAGGTGTGACCTCCTCTCCTGTTCCCATGGAGAAACATCCTTAGAAGATCTTCCTCAGACTTTTACTCTGGCCTTATTGTGAATGTGTTCCCTCCCTGTTAATTCATTCTGGTGTCTGATTTTTTTCCACACAGCCACCACCATCTTCTGGCTTCTGGTAGATCACTTCTTAATGCTAGCAGAACTCTGTGATAGCTTTTTTCCTGACAGGAGGGAGCCAAATGAATTCAGGGATCACTGTGATTTACTACATGATCACAGCATGCAGAATTATTAATCTCTTGTCAAAATCAATTTATCTAAGCTATATTAGAGATGATGGGTCTCACTTTTGCCTGGCTGGGTCTGGAAATTATTGGTCTTCACTCTCAAGGCTCTTTCTGGCCTACATGCTTTTCTGCTTGTTGTCTCTCTTAATCTCAACAGGAGGGACTCTCTGCTAGACCTACACCTGCCCATTTAGCTTTCCATTAAATGAAGAAAAACTACAGCCTTATGCTTGGTCCTGTGCAATTCTCAGACTTTTGAGGATCTCTTTGTGTCTGCAGGAAGCCCTCACTGTCCTCTTTCAATCAGAACACTCCATGAGCTCCCTGGGCTGCTGCTCCCCACAAGGACACCAAAAGCTGTAAGGAGGTTCCTGCAGCTCAAGTGTCATCTTTGAATTGTCATGGCTATGTTTATTCCTACCCA